GAGAGATATCTAATAAGCCAACATACAGAGTGTAAGTATAGGGACTTGGAATAGAGAAATAGGAAGTTATTGTTTATTGGCTACAGAGTTTCCATTGGGGATAATGAAAAATTTCTGGAAAATGTGGCAAGGTTTCAAAATATTGTGAAAAAGTTTAATGACACTGAATTGTATGCTTAAAAAGGCTAAAATTACAAAGTTTATGATATATGTATTTTACTGCAATAAAAATTAAAGTGAACCATTGTGTTACTCTGTAAGTAAATGTTTATATTAATATGAGATCCCAATGGTTGATATTTTAAAATATTCTTTTTAGTTACCAAACTTTTATATGAAGTGTCTCATATTTTAAAATAGTCTTCTATTAAATATTTTAATTCATTCAATCATTATAACTGTCCAAGAAGTAGGTATTATTATTATCCCCATACTACACTAGAAAATTGTAACCAAAATTTTTATGTAACTCTTTCAAGGTCACACAGCTGGTGAATAGTATATCCAGATTTTAACACCTATGTCCTTCATCACTGCACTATTGAGCAAGAACCTCTTTGTTCCCTGATTAAAAGATCAGAGTTTGGACAGATCCTTTACTTAAGAAAGCCAGTTTTCACATATGATGGGAAAATAATCATGGTTTATTTGTTACTCTACATGGCATATTTACTATTCATATTTTTTACAAACACAATTTGTGCAAAACTCAAATGTACTCTAGAGTAATATTTCTCTAGTAATACTGGTGTATTATTTTCCTTTTGGATATAATTTTAGAAATCATTTTATGCCCTGTATTTAACATTTCTTGATGTTTGTTTTAACCACTCAATTTGTCTTTTTTTGTAATTCCATATTTTAAAAGTATATATTTATTTAAGCAGTTATTGAGTGTATAATATATGCTAAATAATTACATAGATAACAGAAATTATTGTGCTAGTTTCATCAGCACATACACTAAAACTAGAATGATATAAAAATGGTTAGCATGGCCCCTGTGCAAACATAACATTCAAATTTGTGAAGTATTCAATAATTTTTTTTAAAGAAAAGAAGAGATAAAATGGAAAGAATTACACATGTACTCTGCCTTCAAGCTTATGTACTCTTTCCCTGCAGAAAACTCCAGAGACATGAAAACATAAAATACTGGAGTGGAAGAGGAATATAAAACAAGGGATAATTCTTAAGACAACATGCTGTACTTAGAAAGTTGCCAATGAATTCATTTGCTGGAGTAAATTATGACAGGCAGAGGGTAGCAGAGCTAAGACCAGAAAGGTAGAAAAGACTACAAATCACAGAAGTTCTTGCAAAATGTGTAAAGT